GTACGTCCACTTTGCCTCCCCTTCCAGGATCCAGCGGAGGTGGTCAGCTGCGGATCCTGGGTGCGGACATTCTGGCGAGCCGAAGAGGTGCGATGCTTTCAGCCTCCTTGATCGCAGCTAGTCCACCTCCAGCAACGTTGGTGCATGAGGCGGTAGGCGTGAAGCAGCTGGTGCATAGTCCATTGGGACCAGGAGTATGCAGGTCCGTTTCGCGGGGGTGAGGATGACGCTTGATCCAAGGTCGGTCATCGGGATGCTTCCAGGAGTTTTCCGGCATGTACTTTAAGTCCAGCGGTACGAGATCGATGAGGTCGTCGGTGGTGCCGCTGCAGACGGGAATGTCAAAGTCGAGCACGTAAACTCCGTTGATTGAGCGTGCTCGTACGACGTATCTGCGCGGTTCGTCGGGGGGAGCGAAGTGAAGCTCGATGTCGCATGTGAGAGGGTCGGTGCTGAAGGTGACGCCGCAGTCTGAGATTTGTCCCACGGACAGCAAGTTCGGCACGATGAGCACATCGTTGAAGGTGATGTGCATGTTGATGTCTCTTGTTTTTAGCACGACAATGCCTTGAGCACTTGCTTGGAGCTGATTCTTTTTCGCGACAGTGACATAAGTGACTGAGGGGGTTACAGTAGCATTGGAGATGTAGCGCGTAGACCCCACCATGTGCTGCCCGCAGCAGCTGTCCAGGTACTAGTTGTTGTAGTTGCTGTTGTTTCCGCGTAGGAGAAGGGCGAGCCGTGGCGTGACGATGGTCACCGTGTCGACTCTGAGGAAGTTATGGCACTCCTCCCAGTCCAGGGGTACAGGTCGCTAATCGTGACGGTGAGGAGGGCTTTCGCGCAGCTGGATTGGTAAGTTCCAATCTTGTTGATCGTCGTCATCATAATAATGATCGTTGGTAAAAGGGTTATTAATGTCCTCCATTGGTTGTATTGGTTCGCCGACGGGTCCTTCTTCTTCTTCGGGAGTAGTAGCACGGGCGCGTCGTTGGCGGCGGTTCGACGCATCGCCATGTTTCCGATGACGCTCCTGGTTCCCGTCTGTGTTGCTTGTGTCTGTTGTTGCTGCTGCTGTTGTTGAGCAGGTGGACGGGGAACTTGTTCAGACTGACACACGTCTCGTCGGCCGACCCAATTGTTATGGTGATTAGAATTGGGGTGGCAATTGTTGGACCAGAATCTGCATCTGTCCGTTGAATGCCCAAATGTCTTGCAGATTGCAGTAGTGGCGCCGCGGTTGTCGTCGCTCTTCTCGGTTGTTAGCGTAGAAGGCGAGGCGTTCTCTTTGCGGCGCGGGGCTTGCTTTGCTTGAATCCATGTCCTGCTGTTCGACGAGAAGAGCGGCGCAAAGAGAAGCTTCCGAGATTGCTCCCCGCTGTCGGAGTAGCGCCTTACAGGGCTTCCACTCTGGCCCGAGTCCGGCGAGCACTATGTTGACGAATATTTCTTCGGAAATGGTGCTCCCGTGCTTTGCGATGTGATCGCGGATATTCCGACAGCAATTAATGTATGAATTCGCATTCTCCCGTGCCCCATCTTGATCTCCAGGAGTTGCTGCAGAAGCCTGCTGGAGGTGACGGAATCCTTCGGCTGATACACCTTCGTCAGGTGTTTCCAGGCTTCAAGTGCTGGAGCTGGGTTCTCCTTGTAGGACAGAATGCCGAGTTGCTCTGCGGGCGTCATGTTCCTTAGCAGCACACTGTACGCCATGAGAGACTTGGTGTAGTACTGAGCCTTGGCGTCTTCGCTGTTTGTAGTACTCTAGTTCGAAGCTCCATGTATAAAAATATTTCGCGTCAAAGACGGTACTAGTCTTGGTTTTGGAGATGTTCAAGAAGCGTGTCTGCGTAGAGTTGATAGCTTCATCACTTGGACAGGGGGGCTGTTAGTGTTGAATTGTTTCTGTTAAGAGAGAAGGTGTGCGGGGCGGTTCCACGGTCATTCGTGACCGGAAGAGTAGGTTGTGCGGGTTGCGAGGAGGTTCTCGCGTTGCCATTCCGCAATGTTTGGAGTCCTTGCTCAAAAGTTGATAGTCGCTGAAGCAGTTGCTCGAGTGCGACAGAGCTGATCGTTGTTGTCTCCTCTGATGTCACAGCAGGGTTGGCCTGCGCTTCAGCCGTTCGATTTTCTTGGCCGCCTGATCCTCCGGCCATCTTGATTCGTGAGCGTGTGCCGCTCGCCACTTTCGGTTCGGCGAAATTTGCGGTAGTAGGAGCGCAAAGAATCCCTGAGTTGCTCATATACCATGTTACAATCCCAAAAGGGACTTAGCCTAAGATCGGCTCAAGGTTGATCGCAGGTATTGTTGCAGCGGAAGTGTTGACCTCAGGCCATAGTGAATGTAATTTACTTAGATGATTATAACGGATGCATGCATAGGTTTATATAGGAAATATAAAGGAATCCAAAACGACCTAGCTAGCCATGTACTATAAGGGATACATTTCTTTATTACAGCGAAGTTCAAACCGTGCGGCGCGGGAACCCGTTTCAAACCTGTTCCCGCCGATGCCACTTTGAATGTTTCTGCCTGCATCGGTCTAACGGTTGTTGGTGTCGCTTCGACTCGTGTGACTCCAGGCTGCATCCTTGGTAGAGTTGGCTCCTGCAGCATACAGGAATGCCTTCGCACTTAATTTATATTTTAACATGTGGATGTGTGCTTGAGGCCCGTGAGTCACGAGGACGAGTGAGAAGTGCCCCTTCCACACACGGTGCCCCTTCCTGTTCATCGCACAAGTTGTCGCCCAGATTGAGAAGTGGGGATATGCGACAAAACGAAATTTCACGAAACTAAGGACGCGTCACCTCATGCGGATCGGCCGAGGATTGGCCGATCCGCACCGATCATTTCGAGCCTAGGCTCGGCAGCGATCGGTTCTCAGGACAGCACAACTATGGCGCACCGATATACAGGTGACATGTTCAATATGGCAGGATTTGGGGTTGTGGTACACCCAACCTGCGACTACAACTCGGGGGTCGCACGCAGAAATCCCACCGGCAAACCCCCTGTACGCGACGCCGCGCAGTAACTATGCGACGATGAGCGAAGGCGATCGATCGAGACTGTCACTCGTGGCTTGAAATTCCACACCGTGCCATCCATTCTCACGATCGATATGTGCACTTCGCTATATCGATCGGAGCTCGCGTAGGTGACAGGATCGTTGGCACATTTCTACCGTACATTCGAAGGTTAGTTACCTTGTTGATTACGACGCTACAGTGCTACACCTGCGCGCAAAACCGATCTTCCAGCGGATCGATCCGCTTCAGGTGACGCGTCCTAACGCAGCACAGGTGCATTCGTCGCGAAAAAAAATGGCTTTGGTTCCAAGTGGTGCTTGGCTGTGGAAATCGATGCAATTTGCCTGACGCAGCTTCTGACGAAAAACGTGGGGAATACGCGGGGGGGGGTTGGATGAATTTCTGAGACGCTCCACTCAACCGACAGCCTGTCGGTCGAGGGGTAAGAGCATGGCACCATTTTGCCACCCTACGGTTCGAACCGTGGACCGTTCGAACCGTGAGGTGGTAACTATACTCGCCTATTTTCGCATAGGTTTTCGCAAGCATGCATGCGACGTCGCATGCATACCGCATCGGTGTGTCACTTTTCCGCTTCTGTCAGGTCGAAATTACAGTGCACTCTTCGCCCGTTTTCCGAACGGACGACTCAACAGTCCTCAACAGCACTGCATTTTGGTTGGCACGCGAATATGGCAGGTATGAAATTCAATGAGCAGCTTCGCCAAAATTGGAATAACGCGACATGGCAGATAAAATTGCCCGTGCAAAATCTTGGCGAAAATTATGAAATCTCGTAATTTGTGTTACGCATGCACAGTAAGTTGGAAATGCAAAACCATGAAAAAGGTGTCACCACGTCGCCCGTTCATGCTTCCGTCCGATTATCGTCCGCTTACGGTTCGCTACGCGCGCTATTGTATGAACGAACTTCGGGTTAAGTAAAATGGTGCCACGCTCTAACCACACCAGCCACTGGTACGGAAAACGAAACCATTGATCAAAGCCGGGTTCCTCCAACGTGGCATGGTGCGAAAGGTTGAGTGGCGTTCGTAATTACCCAGACAGACAAATTCATCGACTTGAGTCGCATAACCAACGCTGCACTGAAAAAATGTCGAACTGCTCTCCGCCTCCCTCAACCTCGGAAGTTCAGCTGCTTCACCCTCTGCTATGTTGCCGCGTCAGCCTGCATGTCAGGACCATCGTCCTTTGGCTTGTGCTTTTACATGTTTGTGTCGTGGTAGGTGAGTCCAGCTGCTTCTTCGGTCGTTTTGTTGCATGCGCTTTCTGTTCGTTTTTTGTTTCGGTGTTGGTGGCTTTCTTGCAGGATAGGTCCTCGTTATCTCTCGTGTTTTGGCTGAGCTTTGGCACGGTTCTGCTGGTTTGTGGTATTCTGCTCGGTTGGAATACACACTTGGGACTTTCTTCCTTCTTACCGATCTGTTCTCCTGGCAGTTTTACAATTGATTGGCTGTGGGTGGGTCACTCTCGCTTTGCTCCTTGGTGGTTTCCACAACCTGTTCTACTGTCGTGGCGTCTGGAAAGGGCTTCCTCTGAAGCCTGACCTTGGGACGTTCGTTGCTTCCCTGCTCCTTGATGAATGGCCTCTCTGGAGGTTTTACGTTCCCCGCAAAACCCTTCATGACAAGCTCTGGTTTTCCCACGGTTGCTCTAAGACATGCACGCATGTTACGGTGACACGTTGCGTTGTGACGGCGCGGCCTCCTGTTGGTTCCCTCCATGCACGCTTCGCGACTCCTCCATTCCTTGCTGGATCCTTGCTAGTTACTGTGAGCCGAGGCCATTGGCAAAGCCACACCTTTTTCGTCCGTGATTTGGGAACATTTTACGACCCCGTTTGGCCGCGACTCGTCGCACCAGCTCTCTCACCTCTTCGTCGTCGAATCGCGTTTCCGTGCTACAAATCCTCGTACCATGACAATTCTTCCTTACCACCTAGCGCAATGGTTTCCCAGCACAACCCCGACGAGCTTATGGGCGAGGAGGAGCTCGACGCCTCCTTCTCGGTCGACTCCTTTTTTGCCGAGGAAGCGGTCACGCCCGCTGTCTCTGCTCCTCCCCCCGCTAAGCGCGTCTGTGCTGCCGGTTCCTCTAGTTGTGCGCCTGTGGCTCCCCCTGCGGCTCCGGTGGTGCCGCCTGTCACCCCGGTGATGGCTCCCGTGGCTGGACCTTCCACGGCAGCGCCTGCTCCTTCGGCGTCTACCCAGGAAGCTAATCCTGTTGTTGCCCTCGCTATTACCGGCTGTTACCTACGTCTTCGTCGTAACCGTGACTCTGTGGGAGTCGTTGTCGCGGCACTCGTCCGCGATACTGACGCTGTTGTTGTTCTTCTCTTCCCTGAGTCCCTGGAAGCTCACCGCAGCCGGATCATCACCCGTGCCCGCAGCATCCTCCGCGGCCGTGATTTCGCTGGTGGTCGCGTTCCGGTGTTCGAAGCCTCTTCTGGCGACCTCCTGCGCCTTCCCCGCAAGTCGTACTGTCGCCACGTGATTTAGTGGCCAACAGTGGACGACGCGAATCGCTTCAAGCGCATGCTCCCGATCACCTACCGTTCGTCTGAAGGGTCGACGGCCGAGATCAAGGTGCTCCAGGATCCTGCTCCCGATTTTTCAGCGGCCAAAGCGCGTGGCGAGACGGTCCTGGTTCTGCGTAACGTGCCTGTGGGGCTTGCTGTCCGTATGCTCCACTCTCTGTTGATGTCTAGCTCTACGAATGGGGTCCGATGGCTTGGTGACATGCTTTCCTTCCACAAACTCTTCGATCCGTACGAAGAATCCTTCCTACCTCAGATGCTCGGCATCGCGGTTGCCTCCCCCAACGATCCTCTCTTCGAGGCCATCCCCGCCGTCATTACGAAACGAATCCAAATCGCTAGGTGTAGCCGAACCTTCTAGGTTTGTAATTTTGGTTCCGGTCCAAACCTAAAATGCCCCACACTCGTCGAAAGTCTCACGTACTCAAAACTTGTTGTGCAATTGCTTTTGAGGCACTGTCGGGGGTAGGTTTCCAACCCAACCAAAGATAAATTCGCCTGCACTAACGAGGTAACCTAGCTTCAACTGCTGTGCAGTTGATGGCTGCTTTGCTTACTTGAGACCCTGGCTTTAAGCCATGCTTGTGGTGTTGTATTGTATGCGGTTACGACAAAAATAAAAACTTAAAACTTAAAAATCATCGAATTGAGTCGCATACGTAGCGAAGCAAGATCACGAATGGATGGAAGCGACGAGCTTCGCATCGGCGAGGTTACCGCCTGTCGTTTTGTTTTTGTTTTTTTTTGTGTTTTTTTTAATGATAATTGAATGTATACACCGATAGGAGCAAGCATATACAGACAAAGACGGTCGTAACCGTGCGTGAGGAGTTAGAGGTGGGGCCTCTGCCTCCAGATGAGATATCTTTACGTCCTGGTGGGCCTTGCCCTCCGCGCCAACCATAATGCGTTACCGCCTGTCGTGTGAAACCAGAAAGCTTCAAACCTCGATCGGGGCTTTCGCTGCTCACACATTCATCATTCATCCATCAGAATGTTTAGGGTGTGTAACCGTTTTATAAAACGCTAAAGTTCGTCCATTCTGCGACTCAGTTCGTCTTACGAAGCAATACGACGCAATTTGACGGATAAGAATGTTGGAAAAGTTTTGACAGAGCTTTTGACGACGTGTGACGACACCTGTTACCAGCCAACAGTTTGAACCGTCTGGGGCTCGAACCATCAAGCGGCAAAATGGTGCCACGCCTTGCGTTCCGAGGGCCCCAACCTCGCAGCAGCCACCACAGTACTACTATATAGTTATCACGGCAGCGCCCACACAGTAAAGCTAGAAGCTTCATTGTAAGTTGGAGTAGTCATCATTTTTGGGATGTAGAAACAACATAGCTAGGCTTCATATTCTCCGCAGCAGCGGATCCCTTCGTCGCAATGTCTGCTGCTCACTTACATCATCCCGCCACCACCGCCTTCCTCGCGCCCCACGCCCTTCCCCAGCCCCGCAGTGCGGCTTCCCCACTCTCATGCGCAACCCGCACCAGCATATTAGTTCCCCGCGGATCACGCGCGACGGATATCTTTCCAGTCGAATCTCGCGCGCAGCGAATTGCCGCTATAGCTAGTCGTTCTTGCGCTGCGAGATTCGCTGCGCCATCCGACAACCCCGGAACGCGATGGGGATCGTCGGCGACGGTGCTCCGTGCGACAGATGGCGACGGCGGCGTCGCGCCGACCAGTAGCGAGTCGAGCGGATTCGATATACGACGCGTGGAGCAGTACACCGAGAGCGTAGGTGATGGGGGTAGCCGCGTACGTGCACGCGGGGGGCATAACAGGAACAGGGGAGCGTTATTAACGGGAGAGTAGACTCGGGGGAGCGTTATGACCGCGTTTAGGTAAGCGGACCATAGCGCCGGGAGCCTCGTCTTTGTGTGTCTGAATGTGAATCCCGACGTTCGTCTGTGTGTGTCTGAATGTGAATCCCGATCCGCGTCTTTGTGTGTATGAATGAGAATCCCGAGGTTCGTCTGTGTGTGTCTGAATGAGAATCCCGATGTTCGTCTGTGTGTGTCTGAATGAGAATCCCGATGTTCGTCTGTGTGTGTCTGAATGACAATCCCGATGTTCGTCTGTGTGTGTCTGAATGAGAATCCCGATGTTCGTCTTTGTGTGTCTGAATGAGAATCCCGATGTTCGTCTTTGTGTGTCTGAATGAGAATCCCGATGTTCGTCTGTGTGTGTCTGAATGAGAATCCCGATGTGTGTGGGGCATGTGTCTGAATGTGAGTCCCGATGCGTGTTGGCGTGAGTCTAAATGTGAATCGTGATGCGTGTTGGCGCTGTGTCTGAATGTGTGTGAATGTGAGTCTGTTGCGTGTCTCCCTGTGTGTGAAATGCGAGTCCAGATGTGTGCCAGCGTGTGTGTGTGCCTCTGAATGCGCATTAAATCACACATGCATACATGCATCACATGCATCACATGCACGCATGCATCACATGCATCACATGCACGAATGCGTCTCATGCACTCTTGCATGCATGCATCACATGCACGAATGCGTCTCATGCACTCTTGCATGCATGCATCACATGCACGAATGCGTCTCATGCACTCTTGCATGCATGCATCACATGCACGAATGCGTCTCATGCACTCTTGCATGCATGCATCACATGCACGAATGCGTCTCATGCACTCTTGCATGCATGCATCACATGCACGAATGCGTCTCATGCACTCTTGCATGCATGCATCACATGCACGAATGCGTCTCGTGCACTCTTGCATGCATGCATCACATGCACGAATGCGTCTCATGCACTCTTGCATGCATGCATCACATGCACGAATGCGTCTCATGCACTCTTGCATGCATGCATCACATGCACGAATGCGTCTCATGCACTCTTGCATGCATGCATCACATGCACGAATGCGTCTCATGCACTCTTGCATGCATGCATCACATGCACGAATGCGTCTCATGCACTCTTGCATGCATGCATCACATGCACGAATGCGTCTCATGCACTCTTGCATGCATGCATCACATGCACGAATGCGTCTCATGCACTCTTGCATGCATGCATCACATGCACGAATGCGTCTCATGCACTCTTGCATGCATGCATCACATGCACGAATGCGTCTCATGCACTCTTGCATGCATGCATCACATGCACGAATGCGTCTCATGCACTCTTGCATGCATGCATCACATGCATCACATGCACGCATGCATCACATGCATCACATGCACGAATGCGTCTCATGCACTCTTGCATGCATGCATCACATGCACGAATGCGTCTCATGCACTCTTGCATGCATGCATCACATGCACGAATGCGTCTCATGCACTCTTGCATGCATGCATCACATGCACGAATGCGTCTCATGCACTCTTGCATGCATGCATCACATGCACGAATGCGTCTCATGCACTCTTGCATGCATGCATCACATGCACGAATGCGTCTCATGCACTCTTGCATGCATGCATCACATGCACGAATGCGTCTCATGCACTCTTGCATGCATGCATCACATGCACGAATGCGTCTCATGCACTCTTGCATGCATGCATCACATGCACGAATGCGTCTCATGCACTCTTGCATGCATGCATCACATGCACGAATGCGTCTCATGCACTCTTGCATGCATGCATCACATGCACGAATGCGTCTCATGCACTCTTGCATGCATGCATCACATGCACGAATGCGTCTCATGCACTCTTGCACGCATGCATCACTGCGCCAGGTGCCGGGGGAGGTGGTGGTGCTCAACACACGGGTGGATGTGTCTGTCTTAAAATGAATCCCGATGTGTGTCGGCGTGTCTGAATATGTATCCATGCATCACATGCATCACATGCATCACTTTGGCAGGTGCCGGGGGAGGTGGTGGTGCTCAACGCCCTGGTGGATGGCGAGGAGGATGAGGTGGTCGTCTTCAGGGTGAGTGAGTGACACCACCAGCACTAGGCGCTCACCACTCACTGCTTACCCTCAGGGTGACACTACCAGCACTAGGCGCTCACCACTCACTGCTTACCCTCAGGGTGACACTACCAGCACTAGGCGCTCACCACTCACTGCTTACCCTCAGGGTGACACTACCAGCACTAGGCGCTCACCACTCACTGCTTACCTTCAGGATGACACCTCCAGCACCATGCACATACCCTTCACGGGGGAAGGGACCAGGTCGTTGTCTTCAGGGCGAGTCAAGCCCCTGCCTACCACTCACCAGGACTGTGCGTTCGCCACTCACCACCAGCACTAGCGGCTTACCATTCACCACCACTACGCGTCTGCCACTCATCAGCAGTTGAGTGAGCAAGCATGCAGTTAGCTTTATGTTTGTCGGCAACGGTGCGTTTGTCACGTACCCAGTTCCAGATTTGCTTCAGATTCGCTGGCAACACAGAACAACCCCTCTTTCCCGAATAGTCCCCCACTCTTTCCTTGACTTTGTTTTTCCACACCACCATTCATTCCTCCCCACCCACATCTCCTCTAACGTTTTAGTGCTCCACACCCAGCCGCCACTTCCCTGCCCCTCCTCTCTGATCACCCTGTGTGTGCCCCATTCACTCGACTCTCGCACTTACCACCCTCTTCTCTGCTCACCCTGCCACAGTGCCCCATTCGCTCTTACATTAACCATCAACACGCTGCACCTCTCATTTCAGCTCCCTCAGGACCTCTCCTCGTCTCTGGTGCTGACCATTCCCTCGGACCCCTCAGACCCGGTTGAGCATGAACCATTCTCTCCCTCCCTATATTACTCCTAACTTCTCCCCTCTTTGCCCCCCCCCGCCCCCACCCCCCTCCCTCCCCCAGGGTTTCTCCTCGTCCCTGGTGCTGCCCACGCCTTCAGACCCCTCGGACCCTGTATTGCCCGCCTCTGCTGCGATCAGCTCAGTGGACCGCGTGAAGGGCCCCTTCAACCCCGCTCGCATGGAGTACATTCAGCAGGGCATGCGCTGGGAGGAGTTTGAGCAGCTGTTGGAAGCCATGCACCTCTGACTGCTCATGTAATGCGTACGAATGGATGGAAGTTATGCTCATTTTGCAAAGAAGATGCTAATAATTCTGCACACGTGATACATTTTTTTTCAATGCGGAATAAAGAACGAAAATGAAGGACAGTTGTAGTCTATGATATATATACATATATATATTGAATTTATTCTCTTAAATTCAGCATAAATTTGCATACCAAGTACGTTTTCAGACTTTCCCAAAACCAATGTTAGGGCTAGCGGGTTTAGGGTTAGAAAAACAGACTACGTATTCATTGCGCTTTCAGCCATATTCATTGCACAGTTTGCCACTAACTCATTATCACAAGGGATAATGTGCACTAAAAAATTTCAGACCAGTTGACTTGGGGAGACTTCAGACTCGAAAAAATGGTGAAGGTAAATACTCTGTATGTGTAGGTTTTTGAAGGGCGAGATCTTTGCGGAGGTTCAAGCTGATTAGCCGGAAATTCCTGTCTGAACCAGTCTAGCCAGCTGTGTGGTCAGACTACGACCATCTCGACAGGAAGAATGTTTTTGGCATCTGGGCTAGAAACATATTTCGAGGTCGCAAGTGTACGAAGGATCCCTTGGAACATACTTCTGACCTCGCTTTCCAGTGTCCCCCACGCCACTCGAAAGTCAGAAATCGGACTGCGCCTCGGCTCGCATCCTCAACTATCGAGCCGCATTCCAGAATACAAGAGGCACTCATCAGAAGTTTGCATCTTGCCAACTTGAGTCAACAGTCCCCCCAGTCTTTCCAACGCCAAATCCTGACAGCCCGTGATAGCACAACTACTATACTCCTTGATTTGAAAGCATTTCGACCTCGCTGATGAAATCATCATCGGGTTGCACGGCGAGAATGGTGAGCCCAAATCGCCTCGCCTATCCGCTGCTCTTGTTCCTTCTAGCTAACAGTTGCTCTGCTCACTTCCCCACTTCCCGCCGCGCTCTGACTAGCTCGCCGGTCCGCCTGCTCGTCGCGGAAAACAACGACGACGCAGTGACATGGAAAGCCGCCGCATCCAAGACTACGACTACGAAACACTCCGTTTCGCAAGGTCACGCGACAGCTAGAACCCGGGTTACCGGCGAGCCGCTGGTTTTCGGCGCTGGTGTTAGCACTCGTCCAAGTAACAGAGGCCAGGGCGGGGCTCAGAGGCTCCAGGACCACCGCGAGCAGCGGGGTGCCTCGGGCCCTTTGGACCGTGTGGCGAGCCGCCCTCAAAACCCCCGCATGGGCACCGCTCCCGACGGAAGCGGCATGGACGGAAATCGGGTCGCTGGGAACCTTCCTGCTGGCGTGAATCACGGCGGCAGTGACGGCAGGGCAGCAGGGGGTGGTGGCGGTGTGGCAAGGCACGGAACTTTCCGCGCGGCGAGCAGCGACGACGTGACGCTTCATGAGCGCCGCGGCGGTCGTCCCAGTGACGCCCCGCGAGGGTTTAGCGTCGCGAATCATGGCAGAAACGGCAGAAACCATGGTGGAAGGTCTGGTCACCGAGGCAGCCAGCAGGATTCCTGGCAGACGGCGTCATGGGGCAACACCAGGAGTGGCCATGAGGGCTTTCACAGGGCAGGCGACGCAGACGTGGTGATTGCTCACAGGAGGAATGGCGCTACTAGGAACGCCGGTGGCAGCAATGCCAGGGCTGCCAACTCATTGGCAGGAAGAGCTGCACACTCATTGCCAGTGGCCGCCTCAGCACACAGCGCAATTTTTGAGAGTAACGATTACAGTGGCGCCGGATCTGAGGAAGAGGACCCATGTCTCAGGGACCCAAGGCAGCAAGCGTGTGGCAGCAATGGTGATGGCAGCAACGGTGGTGATTATGCTGGCGATGGCAGCGACGGTGGTGATTATGCTGGCGATGGCAGCGACGGTGGTGATTATGCTGGCAACGGCAGCGACG